CTCTGTTTCCCGTCCCTACTGGTGGCCCCTTTGATGCTGACTTCTGTGTCAGTATGTTCATTACTTCCCTTACTTCTCAGGGCTGGACAAATGAAGTCCTGTGACTATTCTTCCCATGGAAGATCATCAACAGATCATCAACTCCTGTAGATCGTCCTTGCAAGACTCTTTCCTTCTCACCTGCTTGATTCATATGCTGGCTGGTGAAGGTTCCCATCACACCTGGCCTCTGGCCTCTCTGTAGCCATCACACTGTGTCCCTCTTGACACGGAACAACCAGTGACACACATGATACATCAGTCTAGCCTTCTCCACGGCCTCCTTGTGATTCCACCATACTAAACCTGTTTTCTCAACACCACTTCCCAGCCAGGACAGTCTTCCTCCTTAGGCATGTGCCCTCTGCAAGAATAAATTCTCTGTCTTTCTAGGTCTACCTGAACCTCATGATCTCATCCTTGGAGATTTTCCTAACCACTGAAGGATATACAGGGGTTGAAGCCACCACTCCATAATGATAGAACACGCAACACATATGGTGCTTCAGACCCCTCCTGGCTACAGTCCAGGGTAATAGAAATGCTGCAGGTTGCATGAATGTTTTAGCCTCATGTATACAGGTATTTAAATTCACATGATATCAGAGAAGGCAGAGAAGAACAGGGAAGAGGAAACAGAGTTTCCTCCACGTAAGTGCAACACCACCTGGGTCCTTCCATCCTGATCAAGGACGCCTTGCTCTCCGTTTCATGTAAGTCTATTTATCTGCCAGTTGCTAAAAGTTGGATAAAAGTTTTACTGGGTCTTAAACACTGAATTACAATGAAATTCCAACAGAGTTACACATGACATCCCACTTGAATGCCCAGCAGGGACTCTAAGGTCACTGTAATAATGAATGGCCAAAGAATTAATAGGAGTCGAGCCTCATGAGCCTTCCTGTGCTGCAGCTGGGCAGAACAGTGCTCTGTTCATGGGCTGAATACACGTCTGAGCCGCGGCCACCACAGCTGTGCTGGGCACAGCTGCCCCTCAGAGGAACTGTGGAGCTGGGGGCCTGTTTAGATCCATCTGCCCTCTGTTCTCGACAGACACATTTCCTTTAGTACTGGCAAGTGCACAACAGCCACATTTGTCTTTCAGAGACGCAGGAATACAGACAGTTTTACCCAACATGATCTTGCTTCCTTGGTCTTGCCCCGACTCCACATCTCCTTCTTGCCGCCAGTGCATCCTCCTCATCTTTCTTCTATCCGCTCAAGGGCCTGCAGCACGTGCCTCATCTCCGGGCATTGCCACGGTCATCCCTAATTCCTCCACTTCCACACACAGGGGCTCCCACCTACTGATGCCTGGCGTGGTCAGCTCTTCGCCCAGCTATCCCATCCCGTCCTCAGAGAGGCGGATACTTTTTTGCTTTAGATTTCCCTCAGTCTCGCCTGCAGCCTTTCCTCCACCATTCAGCAATCCCCCGGCATCCTATCTTGTACAGATGTTCCTGAATTCTCGTAGCCTATTTTTTTCTTTTATTCAAAAGACAAATTCCTAGAGGCTAATGGCCGATGGTGTAGTGAGGAGGACAGGTTCGAACCCAAGCATACTAGCTTTATGACCTTGGTCTCCAGAGTTAAGCCCTTTGTGTGTTTGCTTTCCCATCTGTAAAATGGAGACACTAACAATCCTTACCCCACATGGCTGTGGAATGATTCAGTACCACTCTGTTCAGAACCTCCTCCAAGGAGGCACTGCTGTACCAGGCCCTTCACAGGCCCAGCTAGCCCACCACAGGCCCCGGCTAGCCCTCCACAGGCCCCAGCTAGCCCACCACAGGCCCCGGCTAGCCCACCACAGGCCCCGGCTAGCCCACCCCAGGCCCGGCTAGCCCTCCACAGGCCCGGCTAGCCCTCCACAGGCCCGGCTAGCCCTCCACAGGCCCTGGCTAGCCCACCACAGGCCCCGGCTAGCCCACCACAGGCCCGGCTAGCCCTCCACAGGCCCGGCTAGCCCACCACAGGCCCGGCTAGCCCACCACAGGCCCCAGCTAGCCCACCACAGGTCCCGGCTAGCCCTCCACAGGCCCCGGCTAGCCCTCCACAGGCCTGGCTAGCCCTCCACAGGCCTGGCTAGCCCTCCACAGGCCCGGCTAGCCCACCACAGTAGGTGCTGTCAATGTGACTACAGAGGCTTTCACGTTCCTAGGCCAAGCCAGGGCTAAATCCAACAACTGGTAATTGCATAAATGAAGAATTACAATGCTTTCCTCATGTCACCTTCCTACTGTCAGATATGCTGTAAACACTTTTGAGGGCAAATTAAGGAGTCACTTTTCCATTTCAATGAAACCTAAAAGAATAAAGTAGATAAGGGACCAGCATTGGAGCACAGAGGGTTCAGTCGCCGCTGTGACGCTGGAATCCCATGTTGCAGTGCCAGTGCTTCTGGTCTAGCTCCCACTAGTGCTCTTGGGAAAGCAGTGGAAGATGGCCCAAGTTCCCTGCCAAGTGCATGGGACCCTGATCCAGCCTGCAGTCACTGGAGCCACGTGGGGAGTGAACCAGCAGGTGGAAGACATCTCTGTCTCAGGGTGTGTATGCGTCTCCCTCTTTGTCACTCTGCCTTTCAAATAAATGAAATAAATCTTTAAAAAAAATAAGAATATATTGCAGCAAATATCCTACTGTTCTTTAAAAAAAAAAAAGATTGATTGATTTCAAAATCAGTTTCAGAGAAGAGATTTCATCTGCTGGTTCGCTCCCCAGGTGGCTGCAACAGCCTGGGCCAGGCTCAGGAGCCAAGAGTTTCATCCAGGTTACTCCACATGGGTGGCAGGGTCACAAGCACATAGGTCTTATTCCATTGCTTTTCCCAGGCCATTAGCAAGGAGCTGGACAGGAAGTGGAGGAGCCAGGGTATGAACCAGTGCCCATATGGGGTACTGGCATGGAAGCTTTACCCTCTGTGCCACAATGCCAGCCCCTGTTCTTTTTCTTGATATTACAGAAATAACAACGGATAAATTCAATAAAAACTCATGAAATTTGCTTAAACGTAGCTTATAACCTGTATCTCTTTTTTCATAATATTTATGTATTTATTTTCATTTTCATCTCACTTTTTTAAAGGGGAGGGAGAGAAATATCTTCTATTCATTGGTTCACATAAATGCATGCAAAAGCCAGGGCTGGGTCAAGCCAAAGCCAGGAGCCTGGAACTCCATCTGGGTCTCCCCACTGGAGGTAGACATCCAACTACTTGAGCCATCACCTGCTGCCTCCCAGGGTACATTAACAGAAGCAGAGATCTGAATCAGTTCCAGGCACTGCAATACAAGATGTGGGCATTGCAAGTGACAGTTTAATCTGTTCTGTCACAATGCCTGCCCCAGCCTATGTCTTAAAACACACACCTGGCCGGCGCCGCGGCTCACTAGGCTAATCCTCCGCCTAGCGGCGCCGGCACACCGGGTTCTAGTCCCGGTCGGGGCGCCGGATTCTGTCCCGGTTGCCCCTCTTCCAGGCCAGCTCTCTGCTGTGGCCAGGGAGTGCAGTGGAGGACGGCCCAGGTGCTTGGGCCCTGCACCCCATGGGAGACCAGGAAAAGCACCTGGCTCCTGGCTCCTGCCACCAGATCAGCGCGGTACGCCGGCCGCAGCGCGCTGGCCGCGGCGGCCATTGGAGGGTGAACCAAACGGCAAAGGAAGACCTTTCTCTCTGTCTCTCTCTCTCACTGTCCACTCTGTCAAAAAAAAAAAAACAAAAAAACAAAAAAACAAAAAAACAAAAAAAAACACACACCTAATATTCTGGCAATAAATGGACACTTGGGCAATTTCACTGGAGATGCAGCTAAGATCAGTATTGATACAAAGTTGCATATTAATGACTTCTGTTTGCTGATGTTAATCATGCTTATGGGTTCTCACTGCATTTTGCCACAGAAAAATTTTATTTGGCTTTTAGCGTTCATTTTAATCTTTTCTTTACCCGTTAGATTCCCAAATAATCTTCTTTAACATAAAGGAACTACAATGATCTGCAAGACATGACAAATAAGACAAGTGTAAGAGCTACTTCTTGGAAAGAACACGGCTGACACAATTCTAGGTTAAAAGGATAAAGAGAAACACTTATAATTCCAGGGAAAATTTTAAAACCATCTCTATCAGCTGGTACTAAATGAAAACCAAATTAGGTGCAGTTCGAAACATATAAAACAAAACAAACAATATGAATCCCAGGGTCTTTTTCAACTAGGACTCTCAGAGAATTCAGCTCCTGTGTCCTAAGGTAGGGAATACAAATTATGCACTGGATTGGAGTCAAATCCAGCGTGCCACCTGTTTTTGTAAATAAAGTTTTATTGCAACACAGCACACACATTCACTTACATTTCAACTGTGACTGTTTTTACACTTAAGCAACAGAGTTGAGAAGATGTGACAGAGAGCATATGGCTCACAAAGCTGAAAATATTTACTCTCCGGATCATTACAGAGAAAGTTTGTCAACCCCTGTCCCAAGACATTCATGTACATGGTAAATTAACTTCACATCTATCCTTCTATAATGTTGCTAGTTATATAACAATCTTTGGAGAATTGAGGAAAAAACATTACTGAAGACATTTATCATGTTTTGAGTTTGGGATGCAAATGGCTCCTTTAGAACATATTTGCTTCCCTTTTTATTTCTGAAGAAGGTCACCTATTTTTTCATATATAATTTATCACCCATGCAGGCATATTCAAGAGTAAAGGGGGCACGATTAATAACAATGCTAGGACAAGTGGTGTAAACGGAGCCATATGGCCCCTCTGTTCTGAGGCACCGCCCAACCGTGAAGCTGATGGGCACAAAGCACACACCAACCGCAGTCAAAGCAGCCTTGCCCAACACTTTTGCTTCTTTTTTTGTTTTTACACTTTCTGATCCCACTTCCTCCCCACTCTGTTCTTGTGGTAGGTCTGCTTTGAACACCACATCACACAATCAGAACTTACTTTTTAATTCTTTCTCCAAAACAAGCTACTTCCTCCAAGATGTTCTGGACAGTTGAAACAATATCTTGTACCATGTAGATTCTTTCAATAAACCCCTTTTTCTCAGACTCCTAGGAAACATAAGAGCAAGATTCAACTCCGTTCTTATTTATCCACCTGCTGTAGACAGGATCAACCATAGCATAACATGGTTATCACTGTGAGCAATTCTAAAACTATTAAAAAAAAAAACTTAAAATTTATTGATCCCCCAAATGTCTCCATTTGCTGATTCAGATGCTACCTCTCACAGGGTGCAAGTCAGCTAGGACCTCAGTAGCATGAATTGTGCGGTGGAAGCCCCACAAAACCAGGGACACCTTCTGTGGTGGTGGTTGTGTCCCTAGGAGAATCGCATGACCCCTGCCCCCTAACTTGGATCCTCTGTCCTCGCATAGCTGACTGTATGCTCTCCCCGTCCTCTCCTACTACAGCTCTTCAGCGATGACACAGCATGGTGGAGACACAGAAGGCTCTCAGCCTGGCACCTTAACCTGCTCTAAACACACCGCAAGCCAGATGAATGTTTCAGTCATCCTTTGGCTAACTACCTCAGACACACAGCCATCAGCTGAAGACGGGCTGCAGGGTCACCAAATACTCAGAAAGGACTTCAAAAAGTACATGGAAAATGGAATTAAAAGATAATTTTGGTGTAAAACATCTTTAAAATCCATAATTTAATAGCACGCATTTTCCTTGAACTTTTTGAAGACCTTCACATATACTGATGGGGGCTACATGAACCTAATGATTATCCATCACCTATCAACAATAGGCAGTGATTTTCTTGTGAAATTAGAGGCACATACAAGTTCATCTTCCTCAGTCTCCCAATTCTTCATGTAAAATGGAAATCAGTATTCTAAGAATATTACCCTTATTTTTCTTATCTAAAAATTAAATGTGTTTTCTCATGCTAGGTAGCTGATGTTATACAAGTAATTCAGAAATTACTCAACTATTAGAGGAAAAAAAGATACCCTAAATACAGGCGTGGTGTTGTTTTCACACAATTTCTTGCATTCTAATTCTTTGTTCGATTACTCTTCTGAATCTTGTTGTAATTGGGATTGAGCCAGTGTCTCCTTAATTCCTGCCTCTCTGGGTCAATGGAGTAATACATGAAATCTAAAACCTTAAACATATCTAACAGAAAATGTTCTTTCTACCTAGAATTTTACTTGGGCTAGAAATGTACCAAATTATTGAGCAAATACCTCTAAATTTAGGAGGAAACTCTTGCAGTAACCTCTGTGCTACACATGAAAAAACAATCATTTGCATGCGGACTTCTCAACTCCATCAAACTGGAGGCATGGGTGGAGTGCAGGTGCACCCACCAACTCCGGATAAGGACTGCTGATAAAAGCAAACACCAATATGGCAGAAACGTCAAAAAGCAAAAACTTCCCTTCTTGTGTATGCCTGTATGTATGGAGCTAGTGTGACGCGGATCACAGAAAGGCAGAGGTCGAAGACACCAGTGCCACCCCTCGGCAGTGAGGGTCCTGGGATGGCTGGAATCTGCTCTCACCACCTGGTCTGCACTGCTGTCCAACCTCACTGTTTCCTCTCGCAACAGAAACGTGCAAGACATTTGTATTTCTCACCCTACTTTTAAATCCCTTTTCCTTTGTTACTCTAATTCTTCCAGCAGTTTGCACTAAAAATTAGATATGCGACCAGACAAGCCTAATTCATGCTCGGTGATCTACCAACATCTATTAATGGGCATGATCATGACAAACAATCCCTGAATGCCACAGAAGTATTCCTGTTTATAAAGGAACATTTGAAAGCACTGGGGAATTTGACCCAAAGGGCAAAAGTGGCTTCCTCTTTTTAGCAGCATTTAGTATAGGTCAAAACCATTTCTTGGAAAATGATCCAAATGTCCATGTGGCTCAATTTCATTAAAAACTTCCTATTTCAGTCGTCTGATTTCTTTTCCTTATGAAACATTCAGGTCCTGGTTGTAAAGAAAGCATGTCTTAGTAGCAAAATTATAAATGATTCTCACAAGCTTCTTCTACTTTTGAATGAGCCTGACGTTTTGAGTACTCAATATCCACAGCCTAACGACGCCCACTGTGTCTAGGACAGCAGAATAATCCATCATCTGGAGTACATATTTTTAAGAATGAAAGTAATAAAATTATATAATTTTGGAAATATTTACCAAGTGACAACTTGGTTTTAATTTTGTTGTTCTATGATGTCACTTCATTTTTATTTTCATAAACAAATTCTTCAAAACAAAAATTTGTTGCATTTGCAAATTTTAGTGAAAATTTTAAACCACAAGAAATGTGTTCATGTTGCTTATCTGAATGTTTTAGGACACATGAAAAATGATTATCCCTGGTATTCATATTTTAGTTGATTTCCTAGCTGTATCTGTGTACAAGTCCACCACAGCAGAACTATTTTTCACAAGAATGCAGTGTTACGTCATCTTGTACTTCTAATACTTCATAAAACACTTGTTAATCAGCTGCAGAGTCGCCATTGACACCTTAGGTGACTCCACATAGAACACAAGCAATGCTTAAATGCTTTCTCTACTAGCAATTAGGTACTTTCAAAACACACCCAAAAGTGTGAAACATGGAAAATATTCTCAATTCTGTAGTTTAAATATTAAACTTTCTATATATTGTAGCCCAAATATGCTCAAAGACATCATTCTACATCCATATGCACTTTTTCTATTCAACATTTTTGATAGCTTCTACAAAATATTTTTTTCAAAGGCAGAGTCACACACGCACAGAGAGGGAGGGAGGGAGGGAGAGAGAATAAATTCCGTACACTTGTTCACTCCCCAAATGGCTGCAAAGGCTGGAGAGGTGGGCCAATCATAAGACAGAAAGCTAGGAGCTTCCTCTGGGAATCCCAAGTCCATGCAGAGACCCAAGTACTTGAGCCATCTTCCTCTGCCCTCCCTGGCCCATTAGCAGAACACCAGACCAGAAGTGGAGCAGCTGGGACTCGAACAGGCACCCCTATGGCATGCTGGCGCTGCAGAGAGCAGCCTTACTTGCTTCGCCACAGTGCTGGTCCAAACACAGAACCTCTAGTAAGCTGTATCTATGATTTGATTGTTTAACAAAAGTTATGCTGAGATATAAATAACTTCTCAATGTCTTTCGATACAGGACAGAATATATCCTATAAAAATCAATATCTTCCCAAAAATTGAAATAATCTAACTTCAGAATTTAACAATTTAATTATGCATAGCACTTGACTTCATCGCCTACTTTGTGCCATGCACACCTTGCTTTTTCAGATAAAACCGATGTGTGCTTCTTTTTGGCCAACTTCTAAACATAGTTGCATTCATGAAAGTTTACAGACATGCTACTTAGCAGTTCAAGAACTGAAGATTCTCACAAATGCAACACAAGTTTTAGATCTGTTTACAGGAGTTCAATAGCTTTGGGAAATACCTGTTGAGTGTTGAGTGACTGCTCTCCAAGGGTACAAATCTCTCTCAAATTAGGCCAATGATGGGTAAGTAAAGGATGTGCCGCCCTTTACTTCATATTTCACACTCTGCATCACTAACCCTGGTTCATATCTCAACCCTTATCTACGAAATGGTTAAGATGTGAACATAGCAATGTCTGCTCTGTGGGTAGAACATTATCACCTGTGTGGAGGCAAACACAAAAATCAGGGCACCAGATCGGATCCCAGGCGTCTGACTCCTGGATTCCTTCATTTCAGAAGATCTTGCCAGTCATGAGGTTAGGTGCCATCAAACTCTGCCTCGATTACATGAAAACAAAAGAACCCCCATCACTAGATGTTTAAATCAAATCTACAATTGCATTCTTGCCAAAGATTCCATTATTTGTAGAATTAATTTGCAAAAGCTTTATAACTTGGATGAGAAAAGTCAAAACTGTTTTCAGAATTAATTACATGATATTTCATTTGAATTCATGGATGTCAGGCAGATTAACAGCGACTTTCGCCATTTCTCATACAGTGAAAACTTGGAATGGGGAGCAGGAAATTAGCATGGAACAGTCATGTGATGTCAGTGAAGGCCATGTTCCACAGAAAGAATGTAAGAAGTATTCCAAACACTCACAGAAAAATCAAATCAAAAGTCTATTTTGGTGTAAAAATGCTTGAAGCTCATGGACAGCTTTTTTTCATTCTACACACAGCTTATGAACTTTCTGAAGATGGCTTATTTGCATGGATTTCAAATTTTTTAAATCAAAATATACTTCTCTCTTTTCCACACTTTTTCTGATGTGCCCTTTCAGCATTTTAACTGTGAGTGTTAAAGTCCAGCTTTCAGAAACTGTTCTTGAGGAAACTGCTTCCTGCAGAAGTCGCTGTTGGTGCTCTCCAGGCAGGTTTGGGGACTGATTTTACGCAGGCCATCGACATGACCAGGGTGCCAGAGTAAATAGCAAATGGGAACAAACCTTTACCTTTTAGTTCCTCTCCAACTCTATGGAAGAATGGAATAGTAATACTTAATTACTCACTAAACAGAACTCATTTTTCTTATTGTTGAAGAACATTACAAAAGAAAAAAGTGCAAATTAATTCATCGAAATGTTCTAATAAGAGTGCTCAAGTTAGATTTCATAGTCTCTTAGTAGGATGGTTTAAATTCCACATCTGTTAAATGTATACCACACACACCCTGCATGCCTCACCATTCCCATTAACCGTTCTGAGTGGGCAGGCTGGGGGCCTTACGGTCACTATAGGCCTTAGAAAACAGGCTGGTGGGAAGAGCCTTGTGGGGAAACAAGCCAAGCCACCGCTGAGGGCAACCTGCATCCCAGAGCACTGGTTTGAGCCCCAGCAATTCTGCTTTCTATCCGCCATCCTGCTAATGCATCCTGGAAAGCAACAGGTGACAGTTCAAGCACCTGAGCCCCTACCATCCACGCGGATGATCTGGATGGAGTTTTGGGCTCCTGGCTGTGGCCTGGCCCAACCCTGGCTGTTGCAGGTATTTGGGGAGTGAGCCAGCAGAGGGACGATTCTTGTTCTCTATCCTCCCTCCCTCCCTCCGCCTCTCAAACAGCTGAAA